TTTTCTTATCAGGGAAAGACCGTCCCTTGATAGTGTCTCTCCATGAAGGGGAGCACACATGTGAAGCACTTTTCCTGTCCTCGCCACCAGGATCTTACTTCTCCCTTTTCATACATTCAGACCATGGGCTTAGCGAGGGGATGTGGCGTCCCCAGGCCCGTTGAGAGAGAGAGGAACAGATCTAGAACACAAACAGAAGGAATTCTGACCCCAGGTCGAGCGCTCTTCCCGACTTCAAAACCATGGTGTTTCAGTGACATTTTCTGTTTTCCAAAAACCCTTAAAAGTTGCTCCCAAATTAAATCTAACTGTTCTATTTTAGATTCATCTTTCTAACAAGCTGGCAAAATGCAGCACACACAAAATAATCTCAGGCTTTGAAAGCTGTACTGGATACCAGGGGGGCGCGGGGGGCTGGGAGGGCGAGGGCTTGGAGGTGAGAGGGTGGTGGCAGCGGAGCTATGGTGAGGGTGAGGAGGGCGGGTCCACATAGGGAGAGGAGAGAGGAGGCTCTCCCCAAATCCTCCGTGTGTAAACAACTGACAAATCAATAAAATTCAAAAACAGTAGATTCGTCTTTCTTCATTTTAAATCACCTCAGTGACTTTTCACATAATACTTTTTAAATGACCTTTCTATTGTTAAGTCTTAACAATCAAACTGTCCAACACCGAAATCCATGTTCTTCTCCACTCTTCCTTTATCCAACCAATAAGAGGCAGTTCTGTCAGTCTTCTCGGTGGCCATGTGACATAGGTGTACAAGCCTGGTCTCCAGCTCCCCAAGGTATCCCGGCCATAAACCCTGGGACCCATTGCTGGCACTTTCTCCTATAAAATGAACTGGGGATCTTCACATGAGCCCCTGAGACTCACTTTAAACTTCTGGCTTCCAGAACCTTCCAGAATTCTCCCAGAGAGACTAAATCCTGGCTGTTTTAAGCCACCCATTGTGATAACCTGTCATATCCTAACCAGCCCTCAGAGATGAAGACTCTTGGGGAAGGTACACAGGTTCTTCATGGAAGCAAGTGCCTCATTGCAATGTTGTCAAACAGGCTAGCAATTAATATTTTCTCTTTCTTTTCCTACCTTCCTGGAAAGAAAAGGTGAGCAAAGGTTTCAAAACCAGATTCTTCGTAGCAGGAGACCAGGGATTGGGAAGGAAAGGGAATCGCCTGCAGAACAGACATCCCGTCTTTGGGGGAGCCGGTGCTGGTTCTGTCATCAGGGCAACAAGGACAAACAAAACTGAAATGCTGTTGGCAACATGCAGGTTAAATGGAAGCTGTAAGGTGCGTTCCCTGAGCCTATGAGCAGCTTTTATAAGAGAGAAAATAGTTATCTGTCTCAGGTAACTTGAGGGTCTAAGCAGAAATATGTTCAATTACTTTTTGAGGCTCCCGGCTTTCCTGTGACTTCTTAACATAGCATTTATAGAAATTCTTACCTGAACCAGATGTTCAGGGATTGTCAAGTAACTGGAAAGTGATGGTGCAATCGCTTCTAAGACTGGATATTTAATAATGCTGCTAAGAAGTTAGGGTTAATGGCACTGCAATTTTGTTTAGAAAAAAAGGTTATTCTTTTAACTCTATATACTGAGATATGGATTAAATGGTATGACTGAGACTTGCTTCAAAATAAAGTGGGGGACAATGGACCAATGTGGGGGATTATGGGGACTTTGATGGTAGACGTGGTGTGGAAATAAACATCTGAAGAGGTGCAAACCTGTACCGCTAAATCACATACAGTGCTATAAGTCAAGATTCCTCAACAAAAAATAATACAATTTAAGAACAAAAAAAGGCAAAATAACTAAACTGGGGAGAAGGGGGAGTAGTTGGGGAAGAGATGAAATATGTCTCTTAAGCATCAACAACTGTTGAAACTTGGTGTGGCACAAGCAGGCACGTGGTGAATTCTCAAAACTTTCGCATACAATCGAAATTTCTCATGATAAAAACCTAGATAGGAGAGGGGGGATTAAGGGGGAGGAGAGCGAGGCAGGGCAGAAAGGGGGGAATGAAGAGAGGGAGGGGCGTGTTGGGTGTATTCCATTCTGTTGCTCAATGGCCTCCCTCATTTATAAACTGGGGAGACAGGCGGGTGCCTCCCAGGTATCACTGAGCTGTCACAATCCATGGCTCGAAGCGGGCCTAGCCATCCGTCTGCCTTCTTTTCCTCAGCTGGCCCCTGCTCTGTGTTCCTAAATGCTCTGGCATTCTTCCTGGGAAGGACAAAGTTAGCAGATACTGAAAATGGCCAAAGGTTAAGCCACTGAGTGATTTTTGAAGCAGATCAAAAGTAGGTCTCTACTGCTGCTCAAGAGACCTTTGACCTGCATCGCCTTCCAGCACTACAGGAGCCTTCAAAGAGACATAAATAAGTCTTTGCAAATGTTTTTAATAACCTAATAAAAAGCAAGTCAGTTCCCCATGTCCCCAACAAGAAGAAATGGAGCATCCTCAAGCCGTGTACTGCTAAACAATGGAAGAAATATTAGATGGCAGGTTAAACTGGGTCTTGCTATTCAAATTCATAATGTAAACAAAGAGAGGAACTGGACAATTTGGGGGAAGAAAGCAGATTACATAAGTGTCAGAGATAGAAGGGATTTGGATAATTATTATACGCTCGAATCTAAGAAAACAATCTCAGAGAGGTACGGGCTGGCCTCCTGGTCAGACAGCGAGTTAGCCAAGTGCTAATTCTGAGTCCCCGGGTTCCCTGAGGCCCGTGACTTCCTTCATCTAGACAAGGTAGCTAGGACCAGGGGCAAGTCTGTCTAAGAACTTAATACTTGGGCCTCCCTGGTGGCACAAGAGGTTAAGATGCAGCACTATGAAACTGTCCGCAGCCTCTGTAGCACCAGTTCGATCCCCAGCCAGGGAGCTACCCACATGGCGCAGGAGACCTCTCCTGTCTTGCCCACTGCTCCCCTCAGCAGTGTATTTCAGTAGATCTGCCTGTTCTGCTCCCCACTCTGTCTCTGGTGGATCCTTTCACCCCCAACACCTAACACTAAATAGAGTCATATTGGCAAACCTGTTATTCAAGGTCAGTTTCAAAGGGTACAAATCATCCTTTTGTGAATATTACAAAAATCTTCTCCAATAACATTAATCAACCTGTATCAGGGGTGGGGGGAATGAGAAAAGAGAAGTCCCAAAGGCCGAGATCGGCAGTGTCTGTATGAGATCTGTCCAGCTTTATCCTATAACCAGAACTGAACTCATCATACAGCCCTCAGAGACTAAACTCCCAAAGGGCTCTGTTGTCTCCTCCTCCAGGAAGCCTTCATGCATGCATGCATATGAACCAGTTGGCTTATTTACCTCTCCTCGGCCTAGGCTTTCTGAGGCCAAGGGCTGCACCTGATTCTCCTGTTCCCAGGAGCTGTGAGGAGCATCTTTCATAGAAAGATTCAGGAAAAGTCGGTCTCAGTTTTGCTTGGAACAATCTCCATCAGAGGACTGGCTGGAAAGGAAGCAGCCAAGGCTGGAGGGGTAAATCCTTGGGTGAGTCAGCAGCCTTCCAAACCACCATCAAGAACTGCTGCTGGTGGGGCCTCCCCGGTGGCGCAGCGGTTGAGCGCTGGGTTGCGAAGCTGCCCGCAGCCTCTGCGGCGCCGGTTCGATGCCCGGCTGCTCCCCAGCCACCGGAGGAGGGTCCCACATGGCGCGCAGACCTCTCCTGCCGCCCGCTGCTCCCCTCAGCAGTGTACTTCGGTCCTTCTGCCTGCTCTGCTCCCCGCTCTGGCTCTGGTGAATTCTCTCACCCTCCCGCGCTTCTGACTGTACCCAGTACTTGTATAAATAAATAAATAATAAATCTTAAAAAAAAAACTGCTGCTGGAGCCGATAAAACTTACACCTGAGGACATGGAAGACCAGGTCACAGGGCGGGGACAAGAAAGTCGAAAGAATTAAAAGACAAAACTCCCCCAGGGTGTTGGTCCCTCTCAACTGAAACTCAAGACCCAGCACTGATCAACACAGACACAGGCGGTGCAGAGTTGGGGTGGATGACCCCTTCCTCCTCTGCCCTGGGACCCCACCCAGCTCCCCCCACACAGGGGAAGGGGAGGTCGGCTGTGCCCTCAACCTGCAGCAAGAAGGAAGCTGCTGTTCCACATGGGAACAGACCAGGGCTACCTGCATGGATGGTGGGAAAGCGAAAGAGGCACCTTGGGGTGCTAGGAGCCCAGAGATGCCGCACGGGTTTTGAGAAGGATCTCATCTCCTGGAGACGAGAAATTTCTCTGGGAGACAATCCAGCTGGCCAGGCCCAGAGGGAGGCTGCCACCTCCCTGGGTCCTCGGGCACCCACCTCCGGGAACCACTACACTGCGTAGGCAGAAACACGCCCCGCTACCAGGTTCCCTGGTGAATGCTCAGGGCAGAAGGATCCAGGCTGGGAGGATCTCCTGCCCTGGAAAGCCTACCGGCTGAGACACATCCTGAGCTCTTGCAGACCCCCGCCCTTCCAACCTGTCTACCGCTCAGGTCTTCGAGAACGACCCTCAGCACCTACTCCAGCTGCCAAGGCAGTCTGGAAAACTCTGTAAACAAATGTGTCTGCCTGGGGTGGGAAAGGAAGGCGCATGCCCCAGCATTCTCCCCTTTCACCTGCTGGCCGCACCCAAGCCCGACATTGGTCTCTGCCTCTCCCAATGAACTCTGTCCTGGTGGAGGCTTAAACCTGCTCCCAAACACAGCAAAGCAGGGGGCCAATCTGTGAATCATTCCTGGTGTGGACTTAAAACAAGCCACTTTTCCTGTGAGCTGCGGTTTCCTCATCTTAAAATGGAGACGGTAATAAACTCTTCCTGCCAAGGAATAAATGAAGTTGTCCAGGAAATCCACTGGCACGGTGGCTTGTGGTGATCCTGATGGTTGCTGCTGCTGTTATTGCTATTACTTTATCATCCCTATATAAGCAGTCTGCAGATCCTTCACCACTGATTAGGAAATCTTTTTCTAAAAAAAAAAAAAAAAAAAGCATTCTCAAATTCTAAGGTCACGCTTCCAAACTATGTTTACACCAACATCCAAGGCACTGGAATGGGAACTTTTTTTAAATAGGCAAGGATGACACATATACAGGAAATAAATCTCCAGACCTGAAAGTAACCACAAACCCTATCCAGTTAAATCAAAGGTCACAGAAATGCTACGGGGGTGATGAGTCTCTTCCCCTTCATCAGATCACCTGCAGACAGTGACCTTCTCCCAAGAAATACATCCACAAACATACAAGGTGGGGTGATCGATCCATGTAGCTCTTCCATTCAACATATCTCAGGGCCACAGCCCAGGTGATCATAGGAGTTAGAGTCCTGGGCATCTCCAAAATCAAAACTTGAGCCAATTTCTCTCTGCAGGGCACCCACTTCCTCTGCTACTTCCCTGAAAATGTGCACATGTGGCTTCTGCTGGGAGGGGTTTCTGCACACCACACAGACACTACGGTCTTCAGGGCTATTTTAAAATATCGGCTCATTTTATGGTTGCTGGCAGAGCTCTTTTCAGCGATTTAGATTTCACTCCCCTGGCCACAATGAATAACATCTGCGTGTTTGTACAACATGTCTCCTCTCCTCTATTCACTGCCTGGAGCGCTGCCTGTGAGCGGGTAGGTTTCATCTGCTCTGCATAATCTTCAGGTGATGAGGTTTTCTCTTCTCAACGAAAATTATAAAGTATAAAATATAAATAGGAAACAGCAGTAAGGGTGCATTTTTCATCTATCTGTGCCAACGTGAGAATGCCCTAAACATGTGCAGGTTAGTCAGTTGACCCTGGGCAGTACAGGCTGATCAAGTACATGATCCATCTACCTGCCAACCACCACCAACTTGACTGAACGAAAAAACCAGAACTATTGGGTTGTCGGAAAAGTCATGATGCATTTTTGCAATAAAAAACATAGAAAAAAATATGTCATGACTTTCTTTTCCAACAACTCAATATAAGCAAAGTTCAAAAACATATAACAAAAGGCCTCCCTGGTGGCCTAGGGGTTAAGTCTCTGCGCTACCACTGCAACAGTCTGAGTTTAATCCCCTACCAGGGAGCTGACCACATATGGCACAGCAGACCTCTCCTGTTGCACCCACTACTCCCCTCAGCAGTGTATTTCAGTGGATCTGCCTGTTCTGCTCCCCACTCTGTCTCTGGTGAATCCTCTCACCCCCTCACCTCTGGCCTGCACCCCAGTTCTACTACGCAAATATGAATAAATAAAATCCTTTTAAAAATAAAAAAAGTGTTTAAAAAAACATACAGCAAAGACCCTCAATGCTCCAGAAAGACCAATTTCCGTGAGACACAATTTTGCGAGGTACTAACTCAACATAAAAGCATACAACAAAGCCATGAAGCAGTTTATTAGGCTCCTAATTTCCATGTCTAGAACGTGAACATGGATTTACATGCATTGTCTCATTTTGCAGATCTTACATGCATGTAGTCTTCGGTCAGCTGGGCCTTTGATTCTACTTGTCAATAATTAGTTAGCTCAATGTGAGTAAATGACAAACATAGAATGAAACATAAGCCATCGTTCAAAATCCCGCCCCATACCAGTTACTTCTTTTTTTTTTTTTTTCCAAAATCATATTACAACTCTCTCTTGTAAAAAATAAATTTCAGAACAAGGCAATTAATTCACCTCTCTGAGAAAAATAAAGACAATTCTCTCATGTTGGAGTAATGATATGGCTGAAAGGTACACCCTGAGAATTAAATGATCTTAACAAACCCATTGAGGTTTATAAAGCTGTGTTAACCTAACATCGGGAAGGGACATGAGATACAGGCACGAACGCCTCTGCTCATTTTGCCGTGCAGTTCTCCACGGAGGCCATGTTGTAAGCATCCTCGTGGTCTTCGATGCTGGAAGCGTCTGTGGACTCGGGATCGCTCACCACGATCCCCACAGAAGACAGACTGGTGATGAAGGCGTGCATCCGCTGAGCATAAATGTCCCTAATGTTAAAGTAAGGTAGCTCGTGACACTTCTCCGGGGCGTCCTCGCTACACTGGTCCACGTCGATGTCCTTTTGCTTCTGGTAGTACTTGGAGAACTTGTTGAAGATAATGGTGATGGGAAGGGCCACCACCAAGATGCCACAGAGGATGCACGTGCTGGCGATGAGCTTCCCGGCCAGGGTGACTGGGTGAGTGTCTCCATAGCCCACGGTGGTCATGCTGATGGTGGCCCACCACCAGCAGACAGGGATGCTGGTGAGGCTGGACGTATGGTCATCTTTTTCCACAGAGTAGATAAGCACAGAGAAGATCGAGATGCCCACAGACAGGAAGAGAAGCAGCAAGCCCACCTCATGGTAGCTGTGCCTCAGCGTGGCCCCCAGAGAGCGGAGACCCACCGAGTGGCGGGCCAGCTTGAGGATCCGGAAAATCCTCATGAGCCGCAGGATCTGCACCACCTTGCCCATGTTCTCAATGCCATCATTCTCCTCCTCCTGGGTGTCCACAGCCAGCGTGGCATAAAAGGGGATGATGGAGACAAAGTCGATTATGTTCAGAGGCTTTTTCCAGAATTTCTTTTGACAGGGAGCAGCGAATAGCCGGATGGCGAGCTCGCCCGTGAACCAGGTGATGCATGCGACCTCCACCCCTTCCAGCACGGGGTCCTCCACCTCTCCATCCTCGTTCTGGAACTCCGCCATGCTGTGGACGCACATGGCCACGATGGAGGCCAGCACCACGCTCAGGGAGGAGATGGCAATGAACTTGGCTGACAGGCAGGACCCCGGGTTCTCCATGAGAATCCAGATCTTCTTCCGGAGCTGGCCACAGCGCAGCTTGTCAAACTTCTCCAGCTCCTTCTCAAACACGGACGACTCTTCGAAGGAGGAGTCGGAACTCACGTCGTTGCTCTTCTGCTCCCAGTCCTTCTCGTGGCCCTCCTCCTTGCGCTCCTGGTAGCGGTTGCTGCAGCAGGAGTCGATGAAGAGCTCGTTGATGCCCCAGTACTCGATCTCCTGGCAGAAGGAGAACACGCACAGCTCCTCCATGACATGCAGCTTCCCCGTGTAGTAGAAGTTCAGCACGTATCTGAACAAGGACGGGTTCCGGTCGAAGTAGTACTCCTTGTCAGCCACGCTGTAGTCATCGCACAGCTCCAGGATGGCCTCTTCCGAGTGGCAGGTGAGCAGCTTCCCCAGCCTGGTGTGAGGAAACCGCAGGAGGGTGCTTTGGTCCACAGACTGCTTAAAGCCCCCCACGTTCAAGTTGACAAGTTCCTCGTCTTGTCCAGGGCGATGGAAAAACTCACCAAACACCATGGTGGAGACAGGAGGCAGAGAGCTGGCCGGGAAGGGAGACGAGGAAGGTCACGCAGCACCTGAAACCAGCACAGGACAGCAGCGTTAGCCCCGGGGCCGTGCGCCCACGCCAGCCCGTCCACATCCTACCCGCCTGTGCCAGGCCGTTGGGCTACACAGAGAGCAAGGCGGAAATGGACAAAAAAGGAATACACTCCTACACATTTTGACATCAAGAAAATCAATTCAAATGGGTTTTTTATCTGGGATTTATTCCTCGTACACTGCTGGTGGGAGTGTAAATTGGTGCAGCCATTAGGAAGAGGTGTAGGGGGATTCCTCGAAAATTCCATATAATCCAGCTATCCCACTTCTGAGTGTTTTTGCAAAGAATTCTCTAGCAACACAAAAGCAAAGAGGCATTTGAACCACGTACTTGTCTCAGCGTCATTCACAGCAGCCAGGAGCTGGGACAACCCAAGAAGAGATCATGGACAGAGGCTGGATGAGGAAGGGCGGTGCATACACAGGAAAGGAGCCTACTCAGTTATTTCTGGAAAAGAAAGAGGAGACCCTGCCTGTGACAACACCGTGGATGGACCCAGAGGATATTGTGCTCGGTGAAGTGGGTCAGACAGAGAAAGGCCAACACCCAGACACCCGATGATTTCCTTCATGTGTGGAAGATGATGAAACCAAACTAATGAACCAACACAATAAAACAAAAACAAACTCTTAACCTGGAAGAACACGCTAGTGGTTTCCAGAAGCAAAGGGGGGCAGAGAGTGGGTAAATCAGATAAAAGAGCTCAACTGTATGGTGACAGATGGAAACGAGACTTGTGGTGACGAGAATAATGTAGTCTATGCAAATTTCATTTCGGACACTATACACCTAAATCTTACATAACATTATAAATCAATGAATAATAATTCATGATTACTTCAACAGTTTTTTTTACTGGGGCTTATAGCTGCAATTTTTAGGAAAAACAAAAGCCTATGATATGATATTTATGAACCCTGATCCCTATCTTTCTATTTACTAAACATCCCAAATTTACCCCACCCCGAAAATGACGCATTTGGGATCACTCACACGGCGCAAGCATCTCCAGACTCAGCCACGAGGCCCCCACATTTCAGAACGCTCAGCTCAGACGAGACAGGCAAGTTGCCGCCCAGCTTATGGTTCTTCTCTCCCTGTCCCCAGGGCTCGGTCATGCACCCCCAAAACAGCTCTCTCCTCTGCTCTGAACCTCTTTCCCAACTCACTTATCACAGAGGGCTCAGCTCAGCTTCTGTGAAAGACGTGGGGCTCCTCTCATGCTCCTTGTGTCCCCCCTTTAAGAGACAGCCCTACACCCTGGGTTTGCGTCTGGACAATCAAGGTAAGTGCCCTTATCTTAACGATACAGTTACACGCAGGGATGGTGTTTCAAGTACATCCGCATGGAAGAACCTGACTGCAGGAAGCCTTTTTAAGTTAATTGCACTATCAGTTTTCTGACACAAACACACCCTCTCCACCTCCCCCCTCCCTCACTATCAGGCTCCCATCTGTGCCCATACCCACCACGACACCCGCCTAAGTCCATACCAGGCGGCACAGAGCCCGGTCAGTGCTGACACTGACACCAGAATATGCCAGACCCACTGCTCAGAGAGAAGGGAACAGACCTGACCGCCACCCGATACAATGATGCTTCCTCAGAGCTGATGATACCAATAAAAGGAGGACGAGAGACTGCTTCATACTGAGCTCCTGCCGGGCACCATGAGCTGCCTTGTATACACCTGTCATTTCAGCATCCCAACACTGTAAAGTAGATGTTTAGGAAAATGGATACTCTGCAGGGTTGAGTCCAAGATGACAGGATAGGTACGTGGTAGAGCCAGGATCCAAACCCAGGATGAAGTAACCCCAAAGCCCACCATATTTCCACTATACATACCCCCCTCCTGTTTGCTTCCTTATTACAATCCAATAATCCAGTGAGGTCAGTGGTATGACAGAGAGAGTGGAGCACTTTTGGGGTTATTGAGAAAAGAGCAATGACCGGTCTAGAAACTTCCCAGCAGGGGTTGCATTCAGTTCAAAGGTTGAGGGTTCAAGCAGAGCTGACTAGCCCAGAGAAAAGGGCATTCCCAACAGAAGGCACCAGAAGGTGGGCAGGACCTCTTAGGTCCATCCAGCAGAGTCTGGACTTCATTCTATAGGCAAGACCACTAAGTGAGCTTAATCACTGAGGGCACGTGGTTGTGTCTGTGGCCGTGACTTTCAAACGCCCCTGGCAGCACCGTGGCCAAGCGCTGGGGCGGGGGGCCCTGGGGGCTCGACAGGGCTGGACAGGGTGAGGCAGGGTGTGTAGAAGAGACAAACGCAAGGGGAGATGACAAAGGAGAACTGGCAGTATTTGGTGCCGTGTGGAAGGGAGAGATGGGGAAAGGCCAGGGGAGAGTGGCTTTCCACCATGCCTGTGGGGGTGACGGAGACACCGCTAGTGGAGGCGGAAATGTCAGGAAGGAATTTCTTGCCCGTATGTTTATGGAAAGCCAAGGCTGTCAGCGAGACGAGAGACTCCTCCTCTGAGAAGGACACAGCAGAGGACACAGCCTCACAGGCAGCCATCTGCCATCCGCCCCGAGGAAGCCTGGCTCCTGGGAACACAAGGCGCTTGCTCTGCAGACGCCACCTCTGATTGTCTTCCTGGAAAACAAGACTCGCAAGGTCTGACGCATCCTTTGATGGGCTTGCGGACCCCTTCAAAAGGCTTGGTTTTTCTCCGCTGCTGTGTTCTGTGGCCATGGTTTGGTCCAAATATTTATGAAACTTCAGGTCTCTAAAAAAGAGTTCACGCTCCTGGCGAGTATATCCCAGTAAATGGCCTGAGGGCTAGTGTTGGCCAAGAGGTGGACGCTGATGGACCCTAGGGTCTGCTGGATTATTTTTCATCTCCTTGGCGGTACTGGAAACCACTATGAGGGATGGCGGGACACTACCTGCCTGGGCCGGGCCACGAGCAGAAGAGTCCATCCCCACTCGACCTGCAGCCACTGGTCTAAAGAGCACTGAGGCCCTCCACAATCGGTCTGTCCTCCTTGCTTTTTATTCACTCCATGACAGTGAAGAGAGCCCATTGGGAAGTCCATTCTTTCCACAAAGTCTAATCATAAAGGCAACATGCATCATAACACCAGGGATCTCTTGTCTTGGGGCTTTGAGAAAAGAGAGGAAGGAAGCAGATACCCCACACATTGCAAAGGAAAGAGAACCCTTTGGCAGGAGGATCTGGTGAGACCTAGCAAAACTGAATAGGTATGTGTCCTTTGACCCAGCAACCCCTCTTCTAGAAGCCTCTCCTGAAGAGAGACAGGCCAAACTTGAAGACTTCTGCATAACTAGAAGCAACCCAAATATTCATCAATAAAGGATTGGCTCAATGAACTGGTCTCTCTCCCCCTCCTATCCACATACTCATTTATGTACATAAAGACAGCCCCTAAAATTGCACTTATTGTATGTCAAGTTACTCACTAATCTCAGAGAAGTGAATTATCTCAAATTACAACATAATAATGCGGCAGGCCGCACCTCCCATGCTGTCTCTTGACAAGGTCGGGGCATTGGGGGGGACTCCCAAGAAGCGGGGAGTTCCTGTGCTCCCCCGAAGGGGGAAAGTTGTACTTCCCAGAAGAAGGAAGTTCTTGCACTTCCCAAAGAAGATCTGAACTAGGGAGTCTCCATGGCAACGCCTGCTAATGCTCTCCTCTTTGTTCTTGGTTAATGCTGAAGTAAGTTAGTTATTAACTGGCATGTGAAAACCTAATTCGGACCCAGGTGACAATTGGCTTACTGTTCTTATGCATGAACTATCACAAAAGAAGTAAAAAATTGTTTAAGGTATAGTTAGGAAAGAAATATTTTGGCCCTGAGAACTATGGAGAACAAGCTGCCCTGAACCAGCTGTGCTTGGAAACCATCGCCTAACATGGGAGGTCCCTGTTTGTGGCAACAATACATTTCCTGGTATATGAGGTCAGTAATTCGCAGGCCGTGTGGAGGTTAGGAATTTCTAGTTAAGAGTTAGACTTCAGTAGAACTTACATGGATCTGATGAATTGTTTTAAACCACTTTGAAGTAATTAATATATTAACCAAGTTATTTGAGTGCTAGGAAATAGATTGATTTTAGTAATTGAATAGAGAATAGGAACTTTACACGCACCTTTGTAATTGGGAAAGTTTAAATGTTGCCAAATGTTGTGCTGTTGATCATGCTAGTAAATGAGCTGTACCTAGGAAACTAATTGTTCTTAGGTTACCAAAAAAATGGCCTACAGGTGTAAGGCCAAGGGAGTCTTTACATGATCATGTAAAGATCATGTAAAGATCATTACATACAGAAAATATGTATTGTCTCTGCTCTGCTTCAATGCTTACACTGATGTAATCCCACCGCTCGCCTTAAGGTATACATAAAGACCCGCTGAGACCCTCAGTAGGAGATACTTGCACGAACTAAGGTATCCGTGTCTACCTCACTTCTACCTCGCTCCACTTCCCCTCAGCCCTCCGAGAGAAAACTTTCACCGACTCCGTCCTCTCCTTTCTGAGATCCCTGACACGACGTCTAGCTGGGGCTGGTCTCCAGCATAATAATTTGACTATCTCCCTAGTGTATATACCCAAGGACAAATAAACTGCAGAAATCGTAAAATATTTTTGTTCTTTAGGATATAATTGTACTGAAACTTTTATGCTCATCCACACACAACACAGGGTAAAGCCAACAAAGGATTATTATGCAACTGCCAATAGGAACCTCTACGACTTGGGGTAAAAAATAAAAGAAAACGAACGTAAATAAGAAAGGAAATAAAACCCAGTAATCTTGAATATGAAATGGAAATATCAATATAGACTGCTGTTTTTTTTTAAAAGGAAACTTTCTTGGGCCTCCCCTGGTGGCGCAACAGTTGAGCGCTGGGCTGTGAAGCTGCCCGCAGCCTCTGCAGCGCCGGTTCGAACCCCCGCCGCACACAAGGGTCCCACATGACACACAGACCTCTCCTGTCTCTCCCGCTGCTCCCCTCAGCAGTGTATTTCTTCAGTCTGCCTGTTCTGCTCCCCGCTCTGGCTCTGGTGAATTCTCTCACCCTCCCACGCTTCTAACTGTACCCAGTGCTTGTATAAATAAATAAATACATCTTTGGGGAAAAAAAAAAGGAAACTTTCTTTCCACTGAAAAGTCCTAGAACAAAAAAATTACCAACAATAGCAGTTGCTATGGAGTATCCCCTTCAGAACCGAGGCTTCAGAACTGAGGCCCTCATTCTTACACCTGCCGGGAGTGTTAATAGGTAAGGGTTCTCAGCTAAGTTCCTCTTGGGAACTCATCTGCAGCCAAAGGCCTGTCTTGCCCCAGATCGCACTGTCTCCCCAGGCCAGATCACGGGCAATGACTCGTCTATAAGAGGGCTACAGAGACCCAGTATCCCTTCCTCAAGTTAGGTGACCCAGATCCAGAGCTCCCCAAAGGCTCAGCTGAGGTGTCTGCTGCAACCTTGTCACAGTCAACCCTCTTCCTTCCCTTCCCACAGGAGTTGCTCCCCAGGACACCCTCCACAAACTTCCTGCACATAAACCTCTGTCTCAGTCCACTTCCCCAGGGGAGCCCAGCTGAAGACACCAGCTGAGGAGCAAAGAGCATTCTCGGTCTGTGCAGATGGAGGCATCAAAAAACCAATCTCACTAAACAGAACCAGGGCTCCTGTGAGAAATAGCCAATGCCAGGTCTGGAGCAAAAACCATAAGAGATAAGCCTTGAGTTTGTTGTTCTAGCTGGAAGCAAGGAAGCCGGGACCACAGGCAAAGAGTCAAAATGACGCAGCATGAAGGTAAGGAGATTCCCGCTCATCAAAAATGGGGAATATGTACATCAAAAAGGAAAACAAATCTCTGATGGACTGGAACACACTGAGTTTGTTAAAATGTCTGCGGTCATAGTCATCTTTTTAAATAAGAGCGGAAGGCATACATTGGTGACCTTTGGAGGGTGCTAGAATGCCAACTCATTATTCTGGAATATGAGAAACAGAGAAAAATCAACATTTATCCTGCCTTCCTGCATGAATTATCCCAGAGGAGAACAATATGAGGGGTTCAAGACTTCCGTGGAGGAAGTAACTGCAGATGTGCCATGTGGAAATGGCAAGAGAATTAGCAGTGAAGTCTGAAGATGGGATTGAAATGCTGAAATCTCATGATCAAACTTTAACAGGTGAATTTGCTTCTTATGGATGAGCAAACAAAGTGGTTTCTTGAGATGAAATCTCCTCCCAGTAAAGAGGCTGTGAACACTGTTGACAAGACAAGGGAATATTCCCTAAACGTAGCTGGTGAAAAAGCGCAGTGTAGACAAGATAGAGCCCAATTTTGAAATCATTTCTGTGGGTAAAACGCTACCAAATAGCATCACACGCTAGAGAGGAAGAATGAAAGGAAGAATCAATCAATGCAGCAAATTTCACTGCTGTTTTATTTTAAGAAATTGCCATTGTCACCTCAAACTTCAGCCACCACCATCCAGGCAAGACCCTCCACCAGCAAAAAGATCAGACTCATCAAGGACCCAGAAGACAGCAGTTTCTAACAATGAAGTATTTTTTTAATTAATTAAATATGTGCATTGTTTTCACACATAACGCTATTACACATTTACTAGACTACAGTATAGTGCAAACACAATTTTTATATGCATGGGGAAACCAAAAACCGGTGTGACTTGCTTTATTGTGATATTCACTTTTTGGGGATGGTCTAGAACCAAACCCGCAATGCCTCCAAGATGCGCTTGTCCCCTTTGGGTGACGATTTGGTGTTAGGCATGCGGAGGGCACGTGGGGTCTCCAGGCAGGCACATCTGTGGGTGCAAAGGGCTGAGATAGAAAAATCAACTGCCATTTTCATGCTCCTCCTCAAGAATTGCGTAGGCTTCCTGTATCAATATCCCTGCTGACCATCAAGCCAAATTACCCATGGCAGAAACAGTATTTGACCACTATGTGTTTCCTGATGTTTGTGAGATTGAAAAGGAAGACAAAGATGTCAAAAATCCAAGATAGTCACTGGAAGCTTGAAAGAAGAACTACATTGATCCACTTCTCTCCGTAAAGCCGTTAGAAACCATTAACCTCTTACCTCTCTCTTTGCTTCCTACTCTCAAATTCACTTAAAAAATACTCTCAAGAAGGCGGCCACATACACATGCACACACAAGCATGAGTGGCTTTGAAAATGCACTTGCCTTGCTCGGAAAAGTAACAAAAGTAGAATGAACACAATTCAGTTATTTCATTGGGAAGAATCACCTTTTGAAAATCAATTTCATCAAAGAAAATGAAAACCAAGATTCCTTTTCCCTCCCTGCTTATCCAAAATCTACATTAGTTCTTTCATCAAAGTGGGACAAGAGCGTTTTTGAGCATTAATACTGCTGTATTTGTGGTACATTCTACAAAAAGCTATTCTATTCCATTCTAGAAATGAAAAAACATTTTTTTAAAAATTCTATTTCTGGCCATGCCATGTAAGACCATTCCAAATAAAGCCAAGCAAATGTAAATAATTAAAAATCTAAACTCCACTCTCACCCATTGATTAAGCATCTCCCACCAGGCAAGTTCCCTCAGCTCATCTCTGACAACAAGCTCCTGGCCACCGGTGGTGAGGAGGACACGGAAGGAAGACAAGATCAAAAGTCAGTCTTGATGGCTTGCTTTGCTGGGAGATGTGGTGCGGTAACGTACATCTGAAGAGGTGTGAACCCATACTCTTAAACCATCTACAGCGTCACAAACCAATGTTACCTCAACTAAAAAATTAAACTAAAAAAGTCAATTTTGGCCCAGAGAGTATGAGGATATTTCAATGGCTTTGCATAGTTCAGGCTCAGTGTGGATTTAAATGGAGGGAGAGGTTAGTGGTCCTTGACTCAAGTCTTACAAATCAAGGAGTTTTTACAGGAGCTAAAATAGTGCAATCCTAAGAAACAAGTTACTGATTGTGAGACTTCTGGAAGGGCATGCCTTGTGTCACAGTGCAGAACACAGTGATCTTCAAAGAGCCTTCTGAAGTTGGGTCCCTGTTTCCAGAACCAACATTCCCTGGGCCTCCAGGAGCCCCTACCTGGAGCCAGTTCATCTAGTAATTCCAGCCCTTCTGTTAAGACTACTGCAGTCTAAGGAAAGATACTCACTTTGATCTGGAAGAAGTAACCTAGGTGTCATGTTTTTGCCAAAAAGCTAGCAAAAGGATTTCAACAAGGCAGAGCAAAATGAAAGGCCTCCTGTGGTCAAAGGAGTATGTTAAACAAATGAAGGGGTTGGCTGGGCACTGTGATCAGGAGCTTCTCTTAGAGGCAGAGGCTACTGGTGCCCTTTGCGGGAACAGAAGTATCTTAGTGTTCCAGGAGTACTTGGAAATTCTGATTCTCCTGTGGGAGAGCTCAAGTTTAATTTGAATTGAGGTACCATGTTTGCAACACTATGTGGCTCTAACAAAAATGCATCTCCTTGCCCAGGGTCTTCCAATAAGCCCCCATCTGCTCCCGAGCCCAGTTCCTCAGCACCCGTGGATGCCAGAAAGACTCAAATGGGCACCAGTGGGAGCTTGTCACATTAACTATATGCAGTCTTACTCCCCCAAATCTGAACTATAAGTGGGAATTGGGGGGTGGGCAATGTGGACTAAGAATCTTCCAAAGTTGGCCTGCCACATCCCCTACTACAACTCCAATTGAATCCCAGGCTACAACTCCACCCCATCCCAGGCTGAAACTGTCCCTTTCTCCTATACTTATCAGCCCAACTGCCCAGTGGATTTTCACCCAGAATAGTCTCCCTTCATGCAGGCACTCATAGTAAGGCTGCCTTCCTTTGATGCATAAAGGTGCCAGAGACAAGGTTGGAGAGATGGCTCTTACCCTTGTGGTGTCGATGTCACACACTCTGCCTTCATCCTGCCAGGTGCAATGTCCATCATCAACCAAGAAGCTCTGCCCATCTTCTGGAAGGATGTGTGGTGCGCATAGGCATTTAGTGGCCAACAAGAAGAGAAGATTCCTGCACTCTGGTTGTGCCGGCCAAAGTCACCGGGGAGTCACTCTCCTGCAGGAGAAACATCCATCAAGTTGTAACTCCAAGAAGAAACATACCCAAGACACTGTCAACTTAGACCCAGCACATGTGGCTGACCAGCCTCCTGCCTTACAGCCTCATCTAACCCCTTGGAGGTTGGGGGGACCCCTCCTGATCACACTTGTGGGCGGGGAGGTATCACACAGCTATAGGCATAAGAACTTCAGATTTTTTTTTTAATTCTTTCCCTTTTTTTATTTATTTATACATACATGAGCTGGGGTGTGGGCCAGAGGTGCAGGGGGGTGAGAAAATTCACCAGAGACAAAGTGGGGAGCTGAACAGGCAGATTGACTGAAATACACTGCTGAGGGGAGCACTAGGCAAGACAAGAGAGGTCTGCTGCGTCATATGGGTAGCTCCCTGGCCGGAGATGGAACCCATGCTGCAGTAGCTGCGGATAGCATGATAGTGCTGAGACTTAACACATACACCACTGTGGAAACCCAGAGTTCAGATCTTGATGTTAGTGGACACCTGTGTTACCGGAATGTTGGTCTCTATTCCCTTGGCCAATAGACGGAAACAAAGTTTGGGTTGAAGGGAAGTAGTCTAATTTGTGAGCAAATTGAGGAGGGCAGACTAGTGCCTGAAAGACCACCCCCCTGCTCTTTGGCAGAGGGCAGGGTATTTATCCAGAGTTGCAGGGAATAGAAGGGGGCGTGGGCAGAGGTCAGTGTGTCCATCCTTGCAACACAAGCGTCTAGAGGTTGTGGCTGATGCCATCTTGATTGCTGATGCCATCATTCTCACTTGGTGGTCAGCAGTTCTGATATCATCTTCTTAGATTCTCTTTTCCCTCTGGATGTAAGGAAACAAAGTTAAGCCTAGAAGGTAAATACAGGCAATGGGAGAGCTTGTCTGGTGCACAAAGAGAGACATACACTTTGTTGTTCTCCACTAAACCCAAGACCTGGGGCATCTCCACGGACCCCCAAGACCAATAAAAAATTCAAAAATGAAAAGAGGCTCTAGAATTAGGAAGGCGATCACTCACCCCACACACAGTGTCTACTAGGAGCCATATTTTCCTAACTGATCTATCAAAGATATACATATATACCTCCAAATGAACACACTGTCATCCGCATTTGAGACCAGGTTCTGAGTGTGACCCTAACAGAAGGGACACTGCTGCTCTCACTTGAATCCATAGGTCTCAAAAGTCAAATCCAAGTATTATATCTCACAGATCAGAAGTGATCGTGTGGACCAGATCAGAGACTTCTGATTAATACCATTCATACCGTGGCTGGCAGGCGGAGGGTGGGAGGACATCTTAAGTTTATATCAAACTAAAGGACAGATTTCAAATTATTTTTCTGAATTTTTCTCCTCCTCCCAGCAGAATCTTTTAAATGGCAAAAAAGTTTTCCATTCCCAACAATCAGCCTTGTTTCTTGGTGATGCATTCGCATAGATTTGTGCTGGTATCTCAGCATCCATTCATTGATTTTCATGTTTTCCAATCAATGCAAGAGACAAGCTTTGCAGGGAAGAGGTGAGGCAGGTTGGGGAGAGACACAAGATTGATTCTGAGCCTCAGAAAGGAAGTGAAAGTGGCTCCAGCTAAGGCACTGTAGAGTCCTTAGTGGCTTTTTGCAGGTCTTTTTATTGGGATTTACCCCCGGTACACAGCAGGTAAGGGTGCTGGGGGGCCGGGAGGCTGGCAGCCCTCCCAGCCCCCAGGAAGTCTTCATTCTATCTGGGCTCTCCGGCCTTCTCTCAGCTTCTGCTTCTCTTGCTTCTCTCTCGGCTTCTGCCGCTGTGACACCGGCCTTAAAAGCACAGTCTTAGCCCAGGTGAATCCCATCTACATCTGCCCACACCCTACTCCAGGAGCCCGCCATCAGGCATGCATTCAGGACTGCAAGGATCCATCATCTATCCTGATGGCAGGAGGGCAGAAAAGCCTGACATTTTTCTTTACCCTACAGGCACCCATTAAACGAACCTTCTCCAAGTTTTGGATCACCAGGCTTTACCCCAGAATTTGACATTACAAACAAGATGCAGACCCTTCCCCCTTCTTATGCCCCCCAAAACTGAATAAGCATAGAGCCCCAAAAGTGAATAAGCAAGTAAATGTGTCCTCATGGGGGGAGGGAGCGGGAGTAAAGCAAGAGTTTTCAAGCTGATTCCACCACTGAATTTCAGTGAATTTCCACTTGTAATAGAGGCGATAGTAAGGAAAGATCCAGAAAAAAAAATGCAGCTCCACTCAAACTGAACTTCTAACACAGGACTCTTGAGAGACACGTAGAAAAATCTCAAAAGGGATAAATAAAATAAAAACAGGAGTTAAACCCCCTCCCTTTCCTCCTTACTTGCCCCTCTCTCCTCCTCCACCCCCCTCCTCCCAGTAGAATCTCTGGGTCAGCCTCAGATCTCTGCATTCCAGCAAAACACAGAAATGCTAAATCCTTTTAAAAGGCGCTTTTTTTAAAAGGCTTTTTAGCTCACTAGTCCTTTTCCCTATCAAAAATGCCTTTCCAAATGCAGTGCATTTTAGAGGAAAGTAAAATTAATCTGGCTGGGAGATAATTAACTGCAAACAGCTTTGGTATCTCTCTTAATTACTGTAGAACAAAATAAACAAAGTAGTTAGGCTCTTTGCACTGAGCAGGAGGCCAGACTGTGAGGTTAGCCCAAGGATCTCCCTTAGAGAATCAGTGGGTCCCCCACCAACATCATCCCGGAACATCATCTCACCTGTCCCCTGGGCTCTCCTTCTACCCTAAAGCAGAATTCCTGTGCCTTGCCACCGCCCTGACTCATATCTGAAAACCTGGATTGGGAGCGGGGATGTTATACCAGCCGCCCCCTTTAGGGCATTGTAAGGTCAGGAATGGACCAGTGCAGGTTTTCTATGATCCAGCAGACCGGGTAAAGGAGGAGTCAGAGTCCTCAGTGGTTTTTGCAGGTTTTTTATTGGGGTTCACCAAGCATACAGCAGGCAGGGGTGCTGGGGGGCTGGCAGTCCTCCCACCCCCCAGCAAATCCTCACTCTATCTGGGCTCTCTGGTGCTCTCTGCCTCTGCTTCTGCTTCTCTTTCAGCTTCTACTGGCGTCCCCATGACGCCACCCTTAAAAGCACAGTCTCAGCCCAGGTGAATCCCATCTACCTAGGCCCACACCCTACTCCAGGTGCCGCCATCAGGCATGCATTCAGGACCGCAAGGATCCATCATCTGATGGCGGGAGGGCAGAAAAGCCTGATACTTTTTACCTTACCCTACAGGCATTCAGACATTTGAAGTGTGATCTCTGCACATAGAATGACAACTAGCATTTTCTGAGCTCCTGCGACTCTAGGAGCCTCCCTAGGAGTTTCCCATGAGTCATGTCTGTGCTGTCTGAATACTAAGTGCTGTTTCGCATTTTCTAGGTGGGATAGCAGCCCTCGGGGCTATTTGCTCAAAGCCCCACACCTGCTGTGTGCCAGAGTCAGGATTCAAACTCGTGCTGGATTTCAACTAGCAAGGAAAATCAAATTACCAATCTTAGCGGCTGGGGAGAGTTGGGGAGTTGGCGGCGGGTGGTGATAGGGGTGCTGCAAGAGGGGCAGAACAGGGGCCCTATGCAGCAGGCCTGGGGAAGAAAACAGCATACATCCAAAGCTCTGGGGGGGGGGCTGCTTTACCACCCACCAAGCGCTCCTTTCTCTCTAAATTTCCATCACCCCATGGGTGTGGTTCAAAGGAAGAGAAGAGGAGGGTGTGTGGCATGAGTCTCCAGCAGGTTCCTGACTTCAGAGGGACTCAGCAGGATCTGGGCAAAAAAGAGCTCTCCCCAAGGGCGCCCTGCACCCTCCTCCTCTCAACAACCAGAGGGGCCTCAGCATCCTCCTAGGGCATCCCTCTGGCCTGGCTGTGTGTGCTGGCGTTTGATTGCCACACACGGAAATGCGTGCACGACTCCCTCTCACCGCAGGGAAGAGGGAGGGAGAAGCCGTGCTGGACCCCGCACCTGCCAGAGACCTGACAGCCACTTCGAACTGACTGAGGAAAAGAAGGGGAGGAGCAGTCCCCAGGCGTGATAGTGGCTCCCTGCGTCCTTCTCGAAGGGCTCAGAATCATAGGAATAAGCCGCTCTCTCAAAATTGACTGCAAAGACCGTGCTGAGACATCAAAGCAGACACAAAGTGGCACTACGGCGCTGCCCCGCGTCTTGCACGCACCTGGAATACTGAGCCTACCCGTGGCCGCCCCATCAAGGGCCTCGGAAATGCTGTCACCTCGGTGCCACCCACGAGGCTGAGAAAGCCTCCGGTTAGGGACAGAGTCCCGCATCCATCTTCATATTAATTATCCCAGTTGCATGGTGGTGCTTGACACATTTTTATTGAACCAATTCCTCTCTTCCAAGCCGACATGACCAAAGAGTAAATTAATTAAAAGAATCGAGATGGGTAAGAAAAGGCAGTGGGGCAGCCATGGAAGCAGAGGAGAGCTAAATGTAAAAGACCCAAATTGGTTCTAAGACCCATCCAGCACTTTCTAAAGAAGAGTTTTTTCTCCAAGAAGCAGCCTCTCCCACCCCAAGAGAAACATCTTCAATGGCATTTTAAGCATCCAGACCCCTCCCCCTAAATCCTCCCTTTGTTGCTGCCTGCAACACCTCCCAGAGATTTCAGTTTCTGGGCACCTTGCCAACAGAGGGCATATGAGCTATGTGGCCAACGGTCATTCTGTTCCTTCTATTTATTAGTGGGACTTAAGGCAGGAAGAGGTCTATCCACCCAGTTTTCTGTGAATTTCTACTCGAGTCAGTCTCCTAGAGTTTGAGCAGCTCTGGGATATCTGAAAGTGAGTTTTGGGAGCAGCCAGGCTGACAGAGCCCATCCCTCACCTATGACAAAGTCACCAAGTAAATGGCAGCTTTGAGGCCATTCTTGGCAGCCAGCCAGCCGCCCTGGCAAAGTCCTGACCTTGCAAGCTTCTGCAGCCAGTTTCTCAGCTTCTGCATATTGACATTTCCAGGCTGGGTAATTCCCATGTGTGAGGAGCTGTCCTGTGAGTGGGATGTGTCCTGGGATCCCGACTCTACATCAAAGATGCCAGTAGCCCATCTTCTCCCTGCCACCAAGGGTTAAGGCCATCAAAAATGTCTCCAGAGATAGCCGATGTCTCCCCAGAGAATCAAACTGTCCCCACTTGTGAATCACAGCTCCACAAGCAAGCAGGTAAGAGAGGTCAGACCCCTGCCAGGGGGCTGGTCATGGGAAGCTCAGAAGGATGGAATGCATGCGTATATCTCCTGCTGACCAGGTCTGGGGCTCTCCCCAAGCACTTGCCCTTGAAGAATTCTGCCATTGCATTTCTGGTGATGGACAAGCAAAATTTGCAAACAAGGAAAGACAAAGCGAGGTTAAGCTTCTGTTGAAACACAAAGCATGTTTCATGCAGTTGGAGTTTGGAGTAAAGATTTGCGGTTTTCTCCAAGCCCGTGCTGGCTGCTACCGTTTTTGGTCCCAGGGCCACGCACACAAGAGCAAGCACACTTGTGGAGTTTCAAAGATGAGGCTGCCACAGCGACCTGCCACAGAGCTCCAGCTGCCCACCCCCTCTCCTGACCAAAACTTCCATCCTGTGGCAATTCATTGATGTTCCAGAAAAAAATGCAAATACGTGTTAGTTTTGTAATCTTGCTTCTGTTTATCAATCCCAGACCAATTTTCCATAAAATCTGAAAATAATGAAATCATAGGCATAACAATGAAAGGTGACATCCACCCCTACCTTCATCTTGCTTAACTAATGAGAATTGTGGTCCGGGGTTTTGCATAAATGAAATTAAAATATCACAATTAGATTGCTGTAATTGGATTTAGTGCACCAGGAAAAAAAAAAAACTGTAATTGTATTTAAATCCTATAATCCAAAGCAATGCACATAATACAACTTCCACTTGATTCAAACAGCAATTTACTAAGAATATCCCTAAACCACTTACTTTTTCCAAAGTATCCAATTTCAAGGAGCAACTTAAGTTCATATGAGAAAGCCCTGAATAAATGATGATTATTTCTCTGTAGGTTGCTCTGTTGTCCCAAGAAGGAGATGAAAACATCTCAGGCTATAATATATACAGGGATTTAAAAATAAATATATGGAAGTCCTGATTTTCACAGAGAAAATCTAGTAAGTGCTTTCAAAAGCAAAGTCTCTAAATTATATTTTGAAATTATAAATCTAAATTATAAATTTGACTCCACTCGGCCATTCATAATGAGTGAGTGGGATGGGATGCCATCTCCAGAGACCCCCAAAGGCTCAAGGTGAGGTGGCTGAACACCGCCTTCCTTTTGGGGTTCTGGGACAAGACAAGGTCCCCATGGGAACACAGGGAGCAGCAGCTGCCACTGAGTCACCACTGAAGACAATCATCGACGGAAAAACTGCGGAAGGATGTGCAACACCAACCAAAAAGAAGCAAAACTACACAGAACTCACCCCAGCAGGGACATCCCCACATGTTGACAGGACTCTGGAGCCACCAAATGGCCCACAGGCTGTTGTCACCCACTGACCCCAGCAGGAACTGCCCTGCGCCCACCTTGCCAGACACCCCCACCAGCCTGGCCAGCTGAAAGCCAGGGTTGGACTGCAGCCATGACAGTCAGGCTCATAGGCCCACCTGGGGGCTCTAGTCATTTCCATGGCTCATGCATCCAGCATCTGCACCAACACCATGATCAAGAGGAACGCTAAGCAAGCTTTTGGGAGGGTGTGGGGAGAATATGTGTCATGCAATGAAAATAGTTCAACAGGTCAAAGGACACCTTCGCAGAACATGGTCACGATGCATATCACATTTTGGAATATATCCTGAGGAAAGAAATCAGACAAGTGTGCAAGGATGTGTGTACAAGGGGGCTCGCTGCATCATTGATGATTCCCAAGAGTAACAAGTCAAGCCCACCTAAATAGCCATCAATAGGGGATAGTTCCACAGAGGAGGAGCTTGCCAGCCATGGATACTCGGGCCACTGAAACACTGAAATGGTAGTTGTGAGATGCCTCTTAATGAGTCTGAACCCATTTAATCCTCATGACTATTATGCTTATTGGATTCACGCTACAGAGGGAGAACCTGGTAAACAGAGAAGGTAACTAACTCTCCAGGTCAACAGCTACTATGTGATAATAATCATGGTTTGAGGGGCCTCCCTGGTGGTACAGGGGTCAAAGACAGTGCCATCAAGCTATCGCCAGCCACTGCAGCACAAGTTCGATCCCAGGCCAACGAGCTACCCACATGGCACAGCAGACCTCTCCTGTCTCACCCACTGCTCCCCTCAGCCGTGTATTCCAGTAGATCCGCCTGTTCTGCTCCCCACTCTGTCCCTGGTGAATCCTATCACCCCCTACACCTCTGGCTTACACCCCAGTTCTTGTATGCATAAATAAATATTTTTTTTTATAAATCATGGTTTGAATTAAAATGAGAGTATGCCAAAGTCATTTTCTTAGCCACTGGGCTTTGCTATTTTTAGACTCACGAAAAGTTAGTCACAATACGCTTTGTCAGAAAGAATAATAATTCTAATACAATATATGGCATGATCTGATCTTTACAAAATATGTCTAACTTTAGAAGGGGGGAAACTCTAAGAATATATACACCAAAATGTTCACTGCATTCTCCTGGATGGTGGGGTGATTCTTGCTTTCTACTATGCAACGCTCAACACTTTATTGAGACAAATACTAGAAAACATGTAGGGAAATAGTTATTTCTCCTTGCAAAAATAAAAGGCCATAAGCAATCTTGGTCAGGATCGTGCATAGAGAGAGTAAAGAACTTACAGATTTGGGAGAAATGGAGTCGGATGCGCTACAGGCTCCTTTACAGGAAAGATGAGTTTCTGCTGTTCATGCGCATCAGCTGCAGGGCAGGCACGGTCCTGGGAACTGTGGAGAAGAAAAGACAGCGTGGCATAGCCCGATGAGCTCACAGGAGGCTGGGGGTGAGGGTGCACAGGAAACAACAACAGAAGCAGAAGTTGTTGGGGAAGATGAAGACAGAAGAAGCAGGAGCCACAGAAAGTTACAGGAGGTAAAGGATCCCGGCCGGGACAGGGAGTGGGGACAATTACAGGAACTTCAGCTGGACCTTGAGGGTCAGTTCTGATGTGAACAAGTAAAGAGTGGACAGGTTAGAGAAAGAAGATCTTCCTCAAGGGGAGGAAAGTTTCTGTGTAAAGACGTGGGACCAGAAAGCTCTTGGTTTGTACCAAGAGCAGAAAATGGTTGAGCTTGGTGCAGATGGAGCCCTGTGACCTACAGATATTTATACAGATTATTTCTTCTTTGAATATAAAGACCTCTGACTGTACTAGACATGCCTTTGTGAGTTAGGAAAACAGCCGTGAGAGAGCTCCAGGGAAGGGAACAGATCGGCGTGACCATGCAAAGAATCTTCCAGCAAAGCTCTCCATCCCCCTCTCTCCCAAACGATTTTGCTACAAGGAGCTAGTCACAGGTACACTATTAAAAAACCTCCTAGAGTTATCACTGCTCTTAGAACATCTGAAAACTTAGAGGCAGATGGGCCTCCCTCGTGGCGCAGGGGTTAAAGACACAGTGCTATCAAGCTATCGGCAGCCACTGCAACATGAATTCGATCCCCAGCCAGGGAGCTGACCCATATGGTACAGCAGACCTCTCCTGTCTTGACTGCTGTTCCCCTCAGCAGTTATTTCAGTAGATCTTCCTGTTCTGCTCTCCACTCTGTCTCTGGTGAATCCTCTTCCCCCCCTCCCATACACACCTCTGGCCTACACCCCAATTCTTATATACATAAAAAAAAAAAAATCTTAAAAAAAAATTTTAGAGGCAGCCACTGGGCACTGCCACCCACCAGCAAATGCAGGGATCTGAAATGGCAAGAGGGAGTTGCAGCAACGCGAAGAGACAAACCAGAAGTATCAGTGACCTTTCCTTACATCATTCCAATTAAAAGGACCCCATTTAATCGAGTCTTTGCCTAACAGCACAAGGGGCAGTAGAGAGAAATCAGGAGATCCTCAAACTCAAATGAAAAAAAAAAACCTTGTCACTAACCTTTGATTGAAATTTAGCAATGCCTCCCATTAAAAATGCAAGGTGGTGGTCCAGACAGTTTACTAATACCTCTGAATCTGACCCAATCAAGATTCCAGATAATTTCACATCATATCAGAATTGATACAGAGCTCTCAAAGTATCACATGTGCTCACTAGTATTACTCTGAAAGCACAGTAGTTACAACCCACTGACAGATCTTCAAGGAATTAGAAGAAGCACATATATTGCTAAATCATAAATTGGTTTAGTTTAATAACTGTATTTCCATACAATCGGATCCATTTATTTCCTATTTTTGTATTTAAAAAGAGTATTCTGATCACTTCAATAAATTGTGCTGGACAACCCACATATAAAGGAATGTAACTAGATCACTGTCTTACACCATATACTACAATCAACTCAAAAATGGATTAAATATTTGAATGCAAAAGTTGAAACCTGAAAATACGTAAAAGAAAATGTAGGTGATAAGCTCTTTGACATGGGTCTTAGTGATGTCGTTGTGGATTTGTCTTCAACGGCAAGAGAAACAAACGGGAATATAAACAAATGAGACCACATCAAACTAAAATGTTTTTGTACAGAAAAAATCAGGCATGGTTTAAAAGAAAACAGCTTAACTGAGTGGGGAGAGATACTTGCAGACAACAGTTAATGTCCAAAATACATAAACAGCTCATACAGCTCAACAATTGGAAAAAAAATAACACCCTATTAAAAAATGGGCAGAGAATCTAAGAAGACATTTCACCAAAGACAAGAAGATGGCCAACAGGCACTGGAAAAAATGTCCTTTCTTTCTTATCTTTAGAGAAATGCAAATAAAAACTACAGTGAGCTTTAGCCTCACACCAGTTAGAATGACTTGTCCAAAAAATCAATAAGTGCTGGTGAAGATGTGAGGGAAAAGGACTCTTCATGCACTGTTGATGGGAATGTAAATTGGTGCAGGCACTATGGAAAACAACATGGCGGCTCCTCAAAAAAAATTAACTGCTTTATACCCCATATTCCGATTGCCCAAAACCTCATCTGACCTCAGTGAGTTTTAGACATTATTTGAATTTATTAGTTGCTTGACACTTATCATGTATTTTGGCTACTACCGGCTGCTTCCATTTCACATCGAATGCTTGAGTCTCTCTTGCCCACCACATTATGGAAGAAAAGAAAAATTGCAGCAAGTACGTTTTTGGAATTGTGGTCATCATAGAAGAAAAGATGCTCATTTATCAGCCACTGCAGAAAGGAGATACAATTTCCTCAATAAAAAGAGTTTCCATCAAAGATAAGATTAATAAGGGCCTCCCTGCTGGCGCAGCAGTTGGGCACTGGGCTGCGAAGCTGCCCGCAGCCTCTGCAGTGCCAGTTCGATCCCCGGCCACCAGCAAGGGTCCCACATGGCGCGAAAGACCTCTCCTGCCGCCCGCTGCTCCCCTCAGCAGTGTATTTCATCGGTCTGCCTGCTCTGCTCCCCACTCTGGCTCTGGTGAATTCTCTCACCCTCCCACGCTTCTGACTGTACCCAGTGCTTGTATAAATAAATAAATCAATCTTAAAAAAAAAAATTAATAAAAATGTTTAAAAAAAAAGATTAATAAGTTCTTACACAGAGAGCAAGTTATTGGGTCAGCTGGAGCATAAAACAAACACCAGAGAGTCCATGGAAAAAGAGGAATTTGGTATGAATGTAATAAAACTCCAAATTACAATAGAAATGATGCTGGAACCCATACATTCCAGCTGGCAAGTGATCAGTGGAAATGGAAGTCTATAAACACTTGAGAAAATTCAAGTAACAGATCTTCATGTGGGCACCTCTTGACTTAACCTGCCATTGTTCAAACATAGACTTACCCATTTCAGGTACTACTGCTTACATGTTAAGAGAGAAAAAATGCATTTAACACTGGCAAGGCCTGAAGTTGTCATCACAGACATAGAAACCACCTTTCTCCGTTCTATGCCGTAGGAGTGCTCTGCTTTGATCAAAACAGCCAAAGCTAACTGGACCCGTTGTAGTTACAACATGTAAGTTGCTGGCAAATAAAGGAAAAACTCTGCAATCACATGCATCCTTATGTTAATATGCTCAACTCACATATTCAAAACTAACAAAATGAAATCAAGTCTCCCACCCCCAAATTCCTCTCTGCAACACAGCTTCTTTTTTTTGTAAAGATTTATTTATATATGCTTACAAGAACGGGGGTACAGGCCAGAGGTGTGGGGGTAAGGAGATTCACCAGAGACAGAGTGGGGAACAGAAGAGACAGATCCACTGAAATACACTGCAGAGAGGAGAGGCCTGCTGTGCCATGTCTGTCAGCTCCCTGGCTGGGGATCGAACTTGTGCTGCAGTGGCTGCAGATAGCTTCTTAGTGCTGTGCTTAACCCCTTGTGCCACCAGGGAGGCCCCTGCAACACAGCTTCTTGACATCCATTTCTGCACTCATGCTTCTTCGTTCTCCCATCATTCTTGCCCCAACACTCCATTCGGTGTCTTTGTGGGCACCTCCAGATGACCAAACCCAAAGGTCACTTCTCATCTGCCCATGACTCACCTGCCCAAGACACCTGTCACTGCTGACCTCTGGTCCCTGGTGTCCCGGAAGCCACTTGTCAGCCCACTCATCATCCTTGGTTTCCTGAGAAACTCTGCTTACACTTTGCACACCTCAAGTCTGGGGTCACAAAGTAAAATAGCTGCAGGGGCCAGGCAGGGCCCAGAATGACAAAGAAGAACACCTGGCCCCCGTGACAAGCTGGGGTGCTGGCCCTGCATAAAGGAGGCCGCTGCCCCTCATGTCCTGGTGTCAGGTGGTTGATCACCCAAGTTGTAAAAAAACACTCATGGTATTTTTATGGAAACTTGTCCTTTTTTTAAATGTTGGCAACTATCTTTTAAATGTTTTAGTCCTGTAATCCAAGTCACACATATCTCAGCTGAGACACACTCCACAGGCCTGGAGTTGGCGTGGGCATCTCCCCACTTCACCCCACCCCACGCTCTTTGCCCCTCTGATCTTCTCCCTGGGGATTTCATCGCATTCTGGAGCCCAGACATGTGTCTCCACTCACATCTCCATCCCACCTTCAGACTCACATAACTGCCAACTGGACACGTCCATCTGACATTTCTATTCTCAATTCATTCTTCACGCCAAGCTAAAGTCACCTTCCAACATGCACAGACTTAAAGTTCTCTGAGGGCACTTGTGGTCTTAGTAAAAACTGTGGATCCAGATGGCCCGAGTCGAAATCCTGGCTTCACCACTTAACTTGTTGAGTGACCTTGGACAAGTCATTTCAGTTCTTTGAGTCTCCGTTTCCTCATTCCTTTCAGCAAGTACCATCCTGGGCTCACCATCTGATCCCTTTTCAAGCCCAGGAGAAAAGCTTTTGAGACTAGGCTGTAAGCTCTGAAGTAAGGCCCTCAGATATTGTCCATTTCTGTCAGATAAAAGCAACAGCTACTGGCGTGGCTGAGCAAACATGGTTCTCTGAAGCTCCTAAGATCAAAAAAAAAGTCTAAAGAACCACACCAGGAAACAGGCAAGATGCAGAAACAAGTTCTAAAAGAGCAGACTGCTCAAGGCACCCCTGTGGCCTCCTCAATCCTCCAGTCACCTACTGTCCCTGGGCTGTGCTGGGATGGAAGTTGCCTCCAGGCACACCCTTAGCATTCATCTTCCAATAAGACAGCATGCAAACAGGGCAGGGCAGTTGCCCCAAGGAAACCCAAGAGGCTTAGGAAGAGGCCAGAATTTCCATTCAACTTTTCCAGAGAGATCTCCATTCTTAACTTTAAATTATATGGGGGAGCAGAGGGAGAAGTGGGGAGGAATTTCAGGCATCAAGGAACAGACCAAATTAACTTCAGGCAGGACAGAGACCCCTCTCCAGTGCTCCCAAATCTGCACACAAACCCCTTCCCTCTTCACCAGTGACCCTGCTGAGGGACTAGTTTGTGTACGCTGCGTGGCCGACAGAGTTCTGACTCATCCTCCTGGGATGTCAAGCAAGGACATCCCTGCTGGCCTTGCTGGCCTTGGCACCCACCAATCTGCTCCGAACACCCCCTCCGCCACGTCACATGATTGCCCACTCCAGCCTCATGGTGCACTGCCATTCCCAGACCTCGTGGAAGCGGCTTTCTCTGTTGCTTCTTTTCCTGTTCATTCCACATATCATCTCCTCCAGGACAACGTATTTTTGCTGTACACACACACACACACACACATTTCCCCCCCACACTTGTACTCCAGAGGCCTGTTTCTTAGCAATACCGCTGATTCACAAGACATCAGCAACAGCCACACAGCAGACAAGTGGGAGAAGCCTGGTAGAAGGATGGTAAATGAATTTTCTGCTTCAGGCTAAAAGACAAGGGGTTTCCCTCTCAAAATAGAGTGGAGAAGGCTGCTCCGGAGGCAGCTCCCTGTCAGCTACCTTGCCTGGGGCTCCAGGACACCAGGATGAGAAGGCCTGACCACACTCTTGTTTTCTGCAACAGTATGAGCTGCTGACACTTTATGGCATTTCCAAAAGGTTCTAGAATGCTTACTGCTGCTCAAAGAAACAGAGTGCTGTTGCCAGACCATAAATCCTCAGCATAGTTACAACAGAGCTTGCAGAGAACCAAGTGTCTACAGCTGTAGCCGTTCACCACAGCCACTTCAGGGGGCGAGAAAAGTTTCACTTGACTTTTTAAAGACTATAATAAAATAAATATGATGCTTACATGGCATCTAATCCATTATTCGGAAGGTAGAAAAAATGTTTTTATGCTTCATGGACTCAGCTCCTGGAAGCCATCCTGGGAGGATTTTTTTTTTCATGCTTTGCCCAGAACTATCTGCGATGACTAATTCCACACTTCATAAACATGAAAGAAATTATAAAATAATGAGATCCCCAGGCAATGCAAGTCCAAAATGTTTTCAATTTTACTTATTAAAATTAATTCTCACACTGCTTCTTTCCCCAATCCACCTTCTAAATGCACGCACCTCTCTGCGTTTCCAAGTTCTCCATATGAGGAAGGAGGAGGTGCTAGAGAAAGGGGAACTTCAGGGGACACCCGTGACCCCACGCGCACAGCAGTGAGATGGGACAGCTCAGAGCAAGCCCTCAGAGACAGTTTTAGACAGGCGGACAGACGGACAGGCAGACAGGCACACGCAGACAGAAGTCCTGACCTGGCCAAGCCTGGAGATACAGGCCTTCCTCCAGAGATGTCGATGGAGTCCTCACTCTGGAATAAATCGGAATGATAAAAATCGGAATGCTGGAAACCACCAAACTTCATGTACCATGACTTTCTTTACCTGATTCTTACATTCAAATTTTCCCATGTCCAAGAGTTTTCTACTCAAGTTAGTTGAGCAAGAAAAATTCAAAGTAATTTCACACTTAACCAGATGAGCAGCAGCTTAAAAAAAATTCATTTAAAAATAGTGCAAATTTTGGAGGATTTGGGGGGATTGCTGCTGTTGTTTCATGTAAACTTGAAAAGATAACATGGTATTTTTTAAAGAACCCATCTAGTTCTTTTATTTGAAATCTTAGATAAGCAATATATTGAATTGCTAAAGTTCAAATTCAAATCATATTCGATAAAAAGCTAAAACAAATAACGTAACAAAAAATCAACTTGGCTGAAGATTTAGTCCATAGCAGCAGTTCTGTAAGTTAGGGGGGTGGGGGTGCTCTGGGATTCATAAAAGCCTGTTCAAGGGCTCATAAAATCAAAACTATTTTCATAATAAACTAAGATTTTACTATTTTACTCTCATTCTCTCACACGTGTCAATGGAATTTTCCAGAGATCAAGCAAGACTAAACAGAGAAGCAAATCTAAGATTCCCACTGTCTTCTATGAACTAGACACTAAATTAATTTGTGAAAATGTAAAAAATGCCACTCACAAATTTTTGTTTTGAAAAATGATTATTTTTCATAAAAAAGGGCATTTAGTCAATTGAATTTATTCAATTCAATTACTGCTATTGTTAAATGAATTAGTTACTTTAAAATTTCTCTATTTTTGGGCCTCCCCGGTGGCGCAGCGGTTGAGCACTGGGTTGCGAAGCTGCCCGCAGCCTCTGCAGCACCGGTTCGATCCCCGGCTGCTCCCCGGCCACCGGAGGAGGGTCCCGCATGGCGCGCAGACCACTCCTGCCTCGCCTGCTGCTCCCCTCAGCAGTGTACTTCGGTCCTTCTGCCTGCTCTGCTCCCCGCTCTGGCTCTGGTGAATTCTCTCACCCTCCCGCGCTTCTGACTGTACCCAGTGCATGTATAAACAAACAAATAAATAAATAAAATAAATAAATAAAACATGCCTCTATTAAAAAAAAAAACAAAAAACCTTGCAGTGGAGGGCAGTGAGGATTCTCAATTTTTGAGCATGTAAAGGTGGAGAGACCAAACATTTTAGAATACCATCTTATAGTATTGGAAACTTTGTTTCCCCCCTTTTTTTTATTGTGGCAAAATACACATGACATAAACATTACCATCTTAATAACCTTTAAGAGTAGAATTCAGAGGTGTTAAATGCACTCATAATGTGGTTCAGCCCTCACCACCACCCAGCTCCAAAGTCTTTCCATCATCTAAAGTGTCAACTCTGTACCCAACACCCTGCTGTTTGTGGCTTGCCTGCTTCTTCCCAATCAGCCAAGCAGCCCGCCTACAGAGCCCTCTCTCCCTGTTTCTTCCACACCACCCAGCCCTGGTGTTCCAGTCTCAAAACTATCAAACTCCCCAAAACTCATGACCTAACTCTGCATTTGTGGGGCCATCTGAAACCTATCTCGTACCAGTTAAGTGGGAATGATTTCAGATTTGCCGATACTAACTTACACATGGATTTATTTGTGCGTTCTTCACTGTTGACGTGGGTGCTACCATGTCATAGAAAAGGCACTAGGGGCTTCCCTGGTGGTGCAGGAGTTAAGTCTAGCGCTATCAAGTTATTGACAGCCACTGCAACATGAGTTCGATCCCCGGCAAGGGAGCTACCCACATGGCGCAGCAGACCTCTCCTGTCTCACCAGCTGCTCCCCTCAGCAGTGTATTTCAGTCAGTCTGCCTGTTCTGTTCCCCACTCTGTCTCTGGTGAATCCTCTCACCCCTGAACCTCTGGTCTACACCCCAGTTCTTGTATGCATAAATAAATGAAAATAATTTTTTTTTTAAGGCACTAAATGAGAAGGCAAAGGATGCTGCCGCGTCACAGCGTACATCTGGGAGACACAGAGAGCAACTCAGTGCTCGTCACCATCTGACACCACTATGGCATGTGACTTCTAGTTAGATCAAGAAGTCCAGGGAAACTAAAGTTCACGGGTATCCATGAACTTTCATGAGATTTCTAACTTTACAGATCCAGAGAGTTTGCACTGTAGGATTAGTGGCTTAATGAGATAAAGATATGATTCTGGGGATACTGATACCTTACTAAGCTTCAGCAAAGATGGATGGATGGATAGATTGGATGGACGGATGGATGGATGGATAGATGGACAGAGATATAGAAAGACACAGCCACATAAAGGCACTGTTCATTTCTATGAGCTTCACTAAGGAAGCTCACCCCTCAAAGAGACTGGGGACTAGACCTTGGCCAGGCAAAGTCTAATCCCCAATGGGAGGACAGAGGTCAAAGGTCTGATTTCAGTGGCTTCATGAAGGAACCACCCATAGAAAACTAGGATCTTAAAAACCCACAAGAAAAACACTGCCCATAAATTATGATATATTGACCTCAAAGACAAGAATGTTGAAATACCCTTGCCAGAACCCAGACAACTCCTCTCAATCCAAAGCTACAGACCACAATCTTTAACCACGAAGTTCTCCCATCTCTGGCCAATTAGATTCTTTACCTTAAGTAAATTGTAGGAAATGCTATTAGGTTCATGTGGCATCTTAGCCAGGGTCTGGGAAGGCCAACCAGTTCACAGAAGAATGACGTATAGGCAAGTTCAAGCCCCCAATTTAGTCTGCTGACATGCTTTTATCTCAGCAAACTAATTATTTGACAGCATGGAATCAGAGACCTGAAAGACATCTTCAAAAATCAGGCTAGTCTCTGGAATAACTTTCAATTCTATGGCCTTATTTACACTGTTATTCCCTATGACTGTAAACTGATCACAGGGTTCTCTGTCCCCTCTTAAAGGCCCCATCAGGTTATCTGTGATGTTCATAACTGATCTGGAAGCCACATATTCTGCTAAGCCTGGGTCTCCCTATGACAGACCAGATGAGCCCCTGGGGCATCTTTCACAAGATCACATGAAGAGTCTCTGTGATGAGGGAGACCAGTAGGGAAAACTCCACCGAGACACAGAGAGCAGCTGAGAGCCACGCACTGGGCTTTCCATTCTCTGCAGACACCTGGGACAGGCTTGGCAAGTCCTCACCACCACACTTGTCACCAGAATTTTCCACTTAAGTCCATTCCAAAGCAGCTTATCTATGGTCATCTTAGAAAACAGCTCAGAATCTCACCACAAATGTTCCCAAATACCACTCAGAGCTCTCGTCATTCAATTTATAAAAATGATCCAAATTAACACATATAAACGATGTCACTAAAGAAGACAATTCATTAAAAAAAAACCCATAAAATTCCCAACTATAAAGAAAAATAAAAACCCAGAGAAGAACAAGTTGTATGCTCAAATTTACCCAACAATTAGACAAAAAGTCACTTTGGATTCACATTTCTCATCTTCTAGAAGGACTTGCACAGAGACTGTATGTGCTGATTTACTGAGGAGCTGGACTTGGCTCCCCAACCTCAGCCCACTCACCTTCCCAGTAAACAAGCACACGCCCTCTCCGACCCCACAGTCCGTTTCCTTTCATAATCAACCTGCGCTGTGTGGTCTCCACTCCCTCGCCTCCACTCATTTTCAACTCAGTGTGTTCTGGTTCTAGGCTCCCCATTTCCAGCCCACCTCCCAACTAGACACCAAGGGCCATGCTTGAACTTCTCCACTCCTTTTGTCTCCAATCTAGTCTTCGCAAGCTCCACAGGTCTCTCTTAGACATCTTCGTGCAGTCGAAACTCCCCTGATACAAATCCATTACTTCCTTCCCAGAGCCCCAGGAGAATCTCTCAGATCCTGAATTTGACTAAAGTGTACAGAGTGATCCGCCACTCACCTCCTGTCCAGCCTCCTCCTAGCCACCCAAGCCTTTGTCCTGGAGTCCCTCCATCACCAGATGCTCATCCTTGACTTAGGAAGCTCACTTTCCAGCAGCCTAGAATTCCTTTTCTCTCATTTTGCACTGACAAATTTCTATCTAGCCCTCAATGAAATCTCATCCTAGCTCCCCCATATAAACTGATGCCCTCTCCACCCATACCCCCCTCCATCCACAAAGGTCTTTAGAGCTCTTTCCACTGCTTAAATGTTTGCATTTATTTGTGTAAGATCTGTCTCCAAATTCTCTTTCCTTTACCCCCACATAACCAGCACTAGCACAGTTCATAACAGTGAGTAAATACTCAACTGTTGAATGAAAGCTTGCACATATTTGTATATGCAAACCCTGTATTTTTATTTGTATAAATGTATGTATATGTATGTATCTATGGAAGTTAATCATTAAGTCAACATTGATAAGCATCTGCTAGTTGCTGGGTTGAGCTCAGTGGACCTGCTCAGGATGATCAGCAGGGTCTCCATTCACTGGGGACTTCAGCAAGCATGTCATGCCCTACCATCACCACCAACTGCTTATCTGTGAAATTTTTAGTTAAAAGCAGGTCTTGGCTTTTTATCATTCAACACTTAGGCAATTAAAGACAATTTTATAGGGTATCTACTTCAAGCAAATGACGGTGGAAGATTCTGTAGGATCTCATCCAGAAGGAGACCCCCTACCCAAAGGAGGACTATTACAACCTAGTCTAGTAACTTTAGAGCAGAGCAAGAGGAGATCACTTTTGAAGGGGTAGGAGTGCCTGCATTGCAAAATCTCAAAAGGTGATCTAGAGAAATGATAAGACAGGATGGAACTTTTTCTAAATCAGCTTGAAGATTTCATTGCACATCTTAAACATGTGATTGTGCTCCGCATAATTGGACGGTCTCACCCTTCACGGAGCTTTACATTCCAGGTCCTTGAAAGCAAAAATAAAACAACAGAAAAAAATACTTTCCCCTCATCCCCTGTCCTCACCGAGCATCCTGGTGAGTCCAGACCAGTAGCCAAACACCACTTTCAGGATGAAATTCATGCACAGTCACCTCCAGGGATGCTCTGCAGCTCAATGCCCTCCTCGTGAGGCAGCAAGATGATAGGCTGGAGTCAGAAGACCCCTAGCCACAGCCAAGTACAAGGTCACCGTGCCTTATTTTCTTCATCTGCAACATGGGCCTTTTACCATCCACCCTGCCTATGTCTTACCACAGCAAGTCACTAAGAGAACTGAAATAAGATAACTCTGTGACTGTTTCTGCAAATTACAGTAGGTTATACAAGGGTGACACCATCGTGATGATTTTTTACAAGGATACTAAGACTTACATCTTACTGTCCTGCTTGCATTTGCTAATTTTGAGTCCCCAGGTCCACCATAAATTGGTGCTCGAAGAACACGTCTTAGATACCGCATCACAGACACAGAGTACCCACATAATAAAGGCTTGCAGGTTCATCACTGGTTGGTTTTATGATGGATTTAACTCCGACTACAGTGTTCTGTACCCTGGAACGCACACTGTCTTGAAAAGCAGTAATGTTTACCAAGCCTGCGATCTTTATGATCTGTCTTACTTTTTCCTAATCAGCTGGGCAGAATTCCATTGAAAAGAAGATTATTTTGGCAAAAACAAAAAGAACCTTTTTCTAGGGCAATTTTTAAGACCACTTGTGAGCATGAGACAGGGGGCCATAAAGTCTCTGATGACAGCAAGCCACCCCCACATGGCATCAGTTAGCAACAGGTATCTGAGTTCTAGTAAGTGCAAGACACAGCACTGGGACCACAGGGACAAGCAAGGAGAACACAGTCTCACCAAGGCTCAGCTTATGTGACTCTGCATGAGCTACCCAGTTGTCCTCTTTCCCCTCAACTGAAGTAGGGTAGCAGTAGAGGCCATGTTGTCATCAGGATGAAAGGAGTTAAAGCATCAAAAGCTTTTAGTACAGAGTCTAGAGCAGGGTAACAACAAATATTAGTCATCTAGATCCTTGCTGAGACTAGATTATGGCCCGAAACAGACTGAGACTCAGAGAAGTGAGTTAAGTCAAGTCAAGGATCCACAAAGAGGTAGAAATCAGGCAAGAACCCAGGTCCCCAGTCCTTATCTGTTCTCTGTGATGACTCCTGATGGGTACTTCACACAACTGGTGCTTTGGAAGCACACCTCTGACACCTGATAAGCAAAGGTAATAAACACAGCCACTCTCCCCTCTCCCTCAACTCCACCCCCCCATGCCTGCTGGGGAGACCTAAGGCCAGGCCATCCTTGTGGCCTCCCCTGCACCTGGAGGGACTCCCTTTGCTGCTCCTGCCCCCCCCCCCCACAGAGACACAGCCTGAAGAACCCAGCCTCATTCCTCATGGGTTTGTTCTGAAGATTAAATGAGATAATGCCTGGAAAAGCGCCCAGCAGAGTAGCTGGCATATGGTATGCAGCCAATAAATGTTATCTATTAAAAATAAAAGGAGGAGGTGGAAAAGCCTGTGGTGCCTGCTCTCTGGAAGCTGACAGTTTCCAACCCCAAATGCCAGACACGGGGAAGATGGACATCTCTGGAAGAACAGGGGGATGCAGGGTCTGGGAAGCATTGCAGAGAAGGGCAAAATTCACTGAAGACAGAAGAGATAGCTGAAGTCCCCACTTTTAGCCTTCTTTCTTTAAAAAATACAGGAAAGAAGAAAAATACTTGGTGCTTTGCTGGAAACCCAACCTTCAGAGCAGAAGATTTGTAATATTTAATATTTCAGAACAGAACAGAGACTACTTCCAACCTCCCATTTTCCTCTCGTACATTTGCTCAGCAAATGCTTAGCTTTGCAGCATTCATTAATGGCTTTATTTGGAGTGATTTTCCAGAATAAAGGCTCTGACACATGATTGAATTAAGCAGATCCCACAGATCTTCCTTAGAATACTCACAACATCTTTGGGTTCAGAGTTCTTAAGCACTTCAGTACCCCCATCATGACCATTCCTAGTTCTGAAATGACAAATTCCGTATTAGAACAGAAGAAGGAAAGAATCTGGTGGGAGAAAAAAGAACAGGGACAAGACTAGGAGCAAAAACTTCCTTTTGCCCTGTGTATCCCCCAGCAGAGCCCACCTTGGTCTGGGAGGCTGGATGCAAATTCAGGGCACGATGTCCTGGAGGGGTTACCAGCCCTGTAAGGGGTGAGACCTGCACTTCACCCCAAGTTCATCCACCCTAAGCAAGGCCACCCTGACAGCACGTGATCTGAGAAGCACTGGGGCATCTGCCTTTGGCACAGGGGCAGGTGCTCAGGAAAATGCTTGCTTCCTGTTTACCTGGGCAGGTATTTGCAAGCAGTCTAAAAGGGGGGACCAGCTGGGGGTCACGTATACATTTCTAAGCGAATGGTTATGCAAATGGATAAGCAAATACATGAACAGGGACCGGAAAGGTTTCTCATCTGGTTTTCCTCTCCTGCCCCACTGTTCAGAAAAACCAAGCGTCGGAACCGCACATCTCTCCACCAGGACCCCAAGGAGCACCCCCGCGCCCACCCCTCACGCCCCAGCATCAAACCAGGGCTGGGGGTGTCCCTAGGGCGAGCGAGGTAATTCTCTGCAGCCCCGCATCCTGGCCGCCGGCTGCCAGAGTTAGACTACCGGCTCGGTCTCCAAAGAAGAAGAAGGAACAGACCGGGCATTAAGGGGACGCAAGGGAGAGGCACGGAGAGGCGGGGGAGACGCGCGAACTGAAGCAGCCCTGCAATGCGAAAGGCGCCCGCGCGTCGCGGCCCCTGCGGGCAGGTCTGGCCGGCTCGCCGGGCCGTGCTCCCGAGGTCGGGCAGCTGCGCCCGGGGGACGTTTCCAAGCCCAGGACGCCCCTCCCGCACCGTTCCCCAGTCCAGCCTCGGAGTCCGCCGGCCTCTCCCGCCCGGAGCGCGCCGGGCCCCGCGCAGCGCCGCAGCAGGACGCGGGTCGGGGCGCGCCTCCCGCAGCTGTCGCGGGGCGCCGGGCGTGGCGCGGGGCAGGGGTGGGGGAGGCAGGGGAGGGCGGAGCGGGAGCCCGGGGCGCACTGGCCTGCGCCGGGAAAGCGCCTCCTCTCGAGGAAGCGCAGGACCCGCTTCCCGGCCGCGGAAACGCCCCAGGGCTGCCCCCCCCCCCCGCGAAGTGTCGCCCCGCCGGCGCCTCGACTCCCCGGCCTCGGGGCGCCCTCCCCGCACACAGCCCGATCCAGTCCACACCTGAAGTTGATGCCAGATCCCCTCCCGGGCCTCCGGGGAGCCCGCGCCCCGCGCCGGGTGCCCGCAGCTCGCGCAACAGGCGAACCCCTGGGGCACCAGCGACGGCGGGCTCTGGAGACCGCAGGGTGGGGGCGCTCCTGCAGGCAGGCGCCCCGCGGGGTGCAAAGTCACTGGCGGGCGCATCCCGGCGGGGTCTGCCCCCGAGGCCTGGACTGACCGCGCGACCGGCGCAGCAAAGGACGGGAAAGTTGCCGGGTCGCCCCGAGCCGCCTCCGGAACGCGCGGGGGTGCAAGCAGGTACCTGCGGGAGTCGGGGCGCCTCTACTGGCTGCGCTCTGCGGCGCCGCGGGTCGCGCTGCGGGGATCAGGCCTCTCCGCGCCGCCCCGCGCCCGCCGCGGCACCGGAGCGGGGCCCGCGTGGGTCCGTCGTGGGTCCCCGCGGCGGGAGCGCGGCGCCGGCACCCGGGGCGGGCGGGGCGGCGGGCGGGGCGGGGCGGGGCCGGCCTCTCGGCCGCCGCCCGGTGGGTCCCGGCTCCGCCCGCCGCCTCGCGCTCCCCGGCAGCCCGCGCTCCCCGGGCCGAGGGCGCAGCGCTTGGTCTCGGGCAGCTGCCGGGGGTCCCGCGCGACCTCCGGACGGATGGACGCAGAGGCTGCCCGCTGGGGCGAGCGCCCCGGTCCAGACCTAAGCGCCGGGCCCCCCCGGGAGCCACGCGCCGGGTGCGAATAGCAGCAGGAGCGCGCCCCGCGCCGCCCACCCGCGCGCCCTCTCGGGCTGCGGGCACCCGGCCCCGCGGGGCACAGACGACCTTCCCCGACGCTCGGGCGGCCGGGGCCACGGCCTCCCGCGGCTGGGTCCTCGCGACCGTCTGCAACTTGCGGGATTTTCACAGCAAGTCGCGAGGCACCAAGTTGTTTTAAAACAAAGTGCGAAGGAGGAACCAGCTCCAGCTCCTGCCTGTTTACCAGCGGCCGCGCTGCCCGGAGCGTCAGGCGGGTGCAGAACGAATTGTTTTACACGCGCCTTTCCTGGACTTACCAAGCAGAATGCGTGGCGGACATATGCCCCGAGCGGAAGGGGCGCGAGGGGGATCCGTCCTGGAGGATGCAAGAGGGGGTCCGGGAGCGCCCTCCTGCCGAGGTGGAGGGTGGAGGCCAGTTCAGGACCTCAGCCAGGGCGGCCTGTGGTCCAGAAGGCGTCGCCGGCCCCTCTGCAGTGAGCGAGAGCGCTCAGCAACCGCCTGGAGGGGAAAAGGGACGCTTGGGGACCCACCCCCGCGCTCACCCTCCCGCCCCCAAATTGCAGATTTTAAGTTGTGCAGACTTGCAATAATTCCTCAGAGCCAGCTGCTCCAAGCTGTGGGCGCGCAGGGCTCCCGGGTGCCCGCCCCACACGCTGCAGTCCGCAAGCAGCCCCCACGCCCGCGCCGGGTGACCCCTGGACTCCCAGGAGCGGTCAGCAAGACCCCCCACAATTCAGTTCCAGGCCCCCAGCCGGGCACCTAAGGAAAAGATTAAGACACTTTTTCTGACCTCATGCAAGTAGGCTGGGGCTTTGTAATTGCTTTTTGTCTGATTAAAAACCCACAAGGAGAGTCAGCGAAAAGGGAGCCAGGCCGGCAGAATTTGGTGGGCTTTGAAGAGGAGGGGAAACTTGACCTTGAGGGGAGGTTTGGCTAAAGGAAAGGGTAGTAGAAAGGAAGAACTGACTGAAGCCCTAATGCGCCACCTTTCCCAGACCCCAGAATTTTCATTTGACTTGTGAAAGACAAGGTGGAAGTGCAGGGGCTAGGAGCAGGTGTTGGGGGCCCTCTGCCTCTAATCCCACAGCCCTTTGGCTTCCCCAGGCCTGTTCCCCTCTCTCCAATGGAAGAGGATCCAATGATCTGTCTATACTGCTCTTTACAAGTAGCTGAAGAAGGTAATTTTTGTACACAATTCCTCATCGTTAGGCTGTTATCTAAGATTATGCTCTAAATATGTTTACATCTTATCAGCACCTGAGAATGCTCCCAGATCTCTCCCGCAGTTAGCTATTTAATCATTTTTAAATCACCAAGTTTATTCCAAAAGTCCACACTGTTTATCAGAGAATGAAACATGTTCAGAATGTCCAGAGCTGCAGAGGCCTCTGCGGCACAGATTCTGGGGGTGAGGGTCTCCCTGGGCCTGGATGGCACAGGGGAGCTGGGGCCGGAATGAGGTCACAAGAAGCCCCCACCTGGCACCTGTGAAAGCTGGGGACAGAAAGGACAGGCCTTCACTATGCACACATCGGGGTGGGGATCGGGGATTGAACCCACACAGATTTGACAGACTGGGGTTCTCCTGCGGTTTCCTGTAGGGAGCCCTGTGAGGAAGTCACTTAACCCTTCAGCCCTGGCTTCATCTGTAGGAGAAATTCCTCCCTCACCTGGAGATCATGTGATGTTAATGAAAAATAAACAGGAGCATGGCATAGGGGCCATCAAAGCCTGGCTCTTCCTACAAAGTTCACCACTAAAATAGCCCAAGGTTGAGCCCCGCAAAGCAGTGACCCGGGGCAGCAGGCCCACAGATGGGCACATGCACACTCAGACCCTCAGCTCCCACCCTGTGTCTACAGCTCCTTCCTCTGACCTCTGTCTCCATGGCCACGGCCTCCTAACTGCTTGCTGCCTCCCACACGCCCACGTCCTACCCCATGAACACCACTTCTCATCATTAACGGTGCCCAGAGGTGAGCATCGAGATGAGCTTCCCCGTGACCTGGAGGGATTCATCAGCTGTGCCCACTCCTCCGTGATTTGGAGAACTCCAGAGCAGTAGTGGGCAGCAACCACGCGAGGCCTGGATCCTGCAGTTTGCCCTGGGTCTCCATGTCTCCTCGCTCTGGACACTTCCTGATTTCCAGTCCTCTCTCTCCCTCTGGCTCACCCACTTATGCACACGTAGGCCCGTCATGAATGCCTTCCCTCTCCCCACCCAAATGGTCCTGGACCTTCATTCTTACCAAAATCCAAGAGACAAAAATCCAGCTAGGGGCCCGCCCTGGAGTCAAGGGAAGCGCTCATTAGCTTTTTAAATCCGGACAGGTCTACAGGTGAAAATGAAGAAGGTCTCATCTCTGGGAGGAAGGTAGAGTGGAGGGGGTCATTTGTAATCCTGGAGAGCATTTATTCTTTGGTGTCTCTTATATTCTGCTCTTCACCCAGCAGCCTGCATGTCTCTCCAGCCAGCTGGAGCAAGTCCCCAAACCCACCAGGCTTTTTCACGCTCCTTGCTTTGCCAGTGACCCGCCCTCTGCTGACAACACCCTTCCCAACCACCAAGCTCTTTGCTCAGTGAACACCACACAATTGATAACAGTCCCCTCCTGGAAAGCCTCTCTCCTCTCCGTGCCCCCCAAACACTCTTGGCTTCCCTCTTTCAAAGCATCCACCATATTGGATGTTAACTCTTCGTCTTCAACCAGACTGATTTCCAGGGACCCTTTATGAGTTCTGCATGTTTGTGAAGTTAATGACCAAAGACTCTGCCACAGGGCTGCTTAGCAACATCTGCTCATAGTGGGAACTGATAGCCTTTATTTCTCCTGAACTTCTAGCAGGTCAAAACAAAATGTACAAACCTCCATGATCTCTTTGCTTGCATGTCAAGCTCAACACTAAGTCTACTTCATTAACTACAGTGAATTTTAGATTGTTGCTAAAACAATCACTTTTCTTTCACAAATTATTTGTATGCTTATTGTAAATGTCCTGTTTTATATATACATATATTTATTTATATATTTTTAATAAATTATATTAATTAAATTAAATTTAAATTTAAATTAATTATATATATATATGTTTGAAAATCCAAACATTTGAATTCTGATTCATCTCTACCCCTCATCAGTTTCAGTATTATCTACTCTCAGATTCTCTCTTTGTGTTTGAACTCCATGATCTCCAAGGCCCTTTCCACCTCTAAAAGCTTTACAATCCTGCAGATTAAAAAGACACCATTGATCAATTATTAAAGAAAGAAGTGCCTGTAACAGACTATGGCCAAGTGTCCAGGCACGAAGGGGCACTCTCCTCCGGTACATGGAGTGTCCTCAAGGACCCTGGCGCACTTCCCAAGATGAGCTCCATCAAACACCTGAGCCAGGGCCAAAAGCCTTGGGCAAGCGGTACACATGGCGCTCGTCAAAACTCTCATCCCCTTTAGGGTGGCGAAGATTCAGCTTGATAAATCAGGTCACAAAAGTACTTCCGCTTCTACCTTTTGATGGTTCCCTGAGCTCCACCTCCGGTTCTAATCTGGTCCTCTGAGAGTATTCTGGGCAGTGCCCTGTATACTAAGCACCTCAGAATAACACAAAGACCAAGAAATATCGTCTCTGTTCTCCAGAAAGGAACACCCCATCAGATAATCAAGAAATCAATATCTGTAACAGTGTATGTAGTTAGTTGCAGGGGGTGACACAAATCTAAAATGGCACTTACTACCTAAGGAACCTTGAAAAATTCCAAGCTATCTCATGTAGGACTCAAGAAGAATAACTCCCCTCACAAATGATTTAAGGATCCCTTCTGGTGCTCAGAAAATCATTAATTTTTTTATACTTAATTTTTTTCAGCATTTCCACCGGAACCCCATCCCAATCTTCTCCATTTGAATTCCTGGAATATCTCTCTTCTAACTCAACCCCCAGGTCTCATCCCTACCAGATATTCTGGCCACCCACCTACTAGATGATGGAGACCACAGGACACGTGTCCCCTTTCATCTTGTCCACCTTGCAGACTCCGAGGCTTCATGCATCTTCCTTGTTTCTCCTGCTTTGAGGAAGATGTGTGTACCCCAATAATTTGGGGGAATCAAAATAAGATGACCAAGAGTCCTAAGACTAGAGAGGAAGAGGGTTCTGATAAGTGATCACCAAGGAACCAGTTATAATCCTAGAATACACATCACAGCAAAATGGGAATCTCATGTTTTAGGGCTGTGTCCAAGCCCCGCCACTCACCTTCTGCATAACCTTGAACGTGGGACTCAGTTTCATCTATTAATCTCTTCAACCAACATTTGGAGGCCTACAGTTTTAACCTTTATAAAAGGGTGATCTTAATACTCCCTTAAAAATTTGTCTTGGGCCTCCCCAGTGGCGCAACAGGTTGAGTGCAGCGCTGTGAAGCTGTCCACAACTTCTGCAGTGTGGGTTCGATCCCGGCCCCTTGGCGAGATTCCCACACGGCGTGGCAGACCTCTCCTGTCTCGCCGGCTGCTCCCCTCAGCCGTGTATATCTGTTGTCTGCCTGTTCTGCCCCCTGCTCTGTCTGTGGTGAATCTTCTCACCCTCCCGCGCCTCTGGCCTATACCCCAGGTTTTGTATAAAAAAAATAATAATAAAAATTTGTCTTGAGATTTGGTTGCCCCACCTCACACAAGAAGATGAAGTAAAGGTGAATTATCTTGCCCCTGCCTTCCTGACCCTTCGAACCCACACTCCTTTTCTGCATATAAAGAGGAATTTTTCATAAACAAAGTAAATTCCTAGTTGGACAATGAGGACCATCAATATACATCCCACAAAGATTTCAAAGCACTCCCGTCCTTTCTCACAATAATGTCCTAGGTTGTGAGGCGCTGGTTGAACTGAATTCTCAACCTGAACATGTAAAGCATCCCAAGGCAGGGTCTCCAAGTCCTGCTAAACATGACAGGCAGGTCCCGGTCATCGAGACTGTTGTCACCGTGACTTCCAAATGTGTCCTCCCTGACCATCAGAGGAGCGGTGCTGTCACTCATGTATCCCCCAGATGACAAATGTTTTCTGAACACTGCAGCCTACCTGCTCAGGACAAAGAACTGGGAGGATTGAATGCAAATGTATAGGACTCAGATTCAGGGATGAACATTTTTATTCTCCTTATTTCTCTGTCACTGACTTAGCTCTTGAGAACTCACTTGTGCATGGCAGCAAAAAACACATGGGCAAGCGGTACCTGGGGATTCCAGGTAAATCTGGTGAGTTCTAGAGATAAACAATCATTTCAGGCTCCTCCATCTTCTGAAGGACCTGTGGCCTGTGCAGGGTTTTCTCACCTCAGCAGTGGGGGGATGTGAGTAAAGTCTCACAATGGACCTCAGCTGGGATTCCGCTCTCCACCATCACTTGTCACCAACACCCACATTTTCCTGGGGCTACGCGTTTCCTCTTGAATGCACTATTTTCTTATGGGCCTGACCGCAGGACTTTTGTGCCATCATCCCACTTA